GTAGTAGTAGTAGTAGTAGTAGTAGTAGTAGTAGTAGTAGTAGTAGTAGTAGTTATTGTTGTTGTATCTTTATCATTATTATTAGGCTTCTTCTTCTTCTTCTTCTTCTTCTTCTTCTTCTTCTTCTTCTTCTTCTTCTTCTTCTTCTTCTTTTTCTTCTTCTTCTTCTTCTTCTTCTTCTTCTTCGTCTTCTTTTTCCTAATATTACTATTATTTTATTATTTTTTTATTATTATTATTATTATTATTATTATTATTATTATTATTATTAATATTGTTATTATTATTATTATTATTATTATTATTATTATTATTATTATTATTATTATTATTATTATTGATATTGTTATTATTATTATTATTATTATTATTATTATTATTATTATTATTATTATTATTATTATTATTGATATTGTTATTATTATTATTATTATTATTATTATTATTGATATTGTTATTATTATTATTATTATTGTTATTATTATTAGCCTTGGTCTATGTTTGCTCTGTGCAGATGGAAGAAGGATCCAGCCACTGACTCCCGAGTGAAGGGAACAGACGGGAGGGACGTGCTCGAATTCCTGGCTGTTCTCCGAACCGACACCAAGCAATGGTCCTTTCCAGGGGTACGTTTGCAACAGCAGCAGCAGCAGCAGCAGCAACAGCAACAACAACAGAAACAAAAAAAACAACAGCAGTAGCATCAACAAAACCAACAACAACAACAACAAGAAAACCAACAACAGCAACAACAGCAGCAGCAGCAACAAAACAAATAACTGGAACAACAACAACAACAACAACAACAACAACAACAACAAGACAAACAACAGCAACAACAATCGGACCGATAATAACAACAGCAATAACAGCAGCAGCAGGATAAAAAAACCAACAACAGCAGAAAAAACAGCAGCAGCAACACAAACAACTGGAACAACAACAACAGCAACAACAAGACCAACAACAACAACAACAGCAACAGCGGCAGCAGCAACAGCAGCAATAACAAAACCAAGGAGTAGCAGTAAGAAAGGCTGCAGAAAGAGACAGGAGCCCAGAGGAGGTTGAAAAGGAGGTGAGGGAGTGGGGGCAGAAAGTGGAGGCGAAAGCAGATGACAGAACATTGTTAGAGAGCAGGAAAGGAGGTGAAAAGAGACAGGTTTAGAAAAGAAATCTTTTCCGTCGCTATCCGGATTTGAACCCGGGACCTATTGAATGAGAGGCGAACACCGTAACCACTCGACCACGAGAGCCCGCGTTCATCATATAGAAGACACAGTGGGCAGTAAATCACATGAGGCTTCACGGAGACGAAATGCCAAAACCAAGAGCGAAGCGCACAAGCTGGACAGAAGATATTCGGAGACGTCTCTGGCGAGTTCTCAGAAACTATTCGGAGACACACTCCCGCACACAGTTGTACTGCTTTGGGGAGGTTAAACTGCATATCGTTTGATGCAGATCACACATATAGCCACTTAGACTATTGCAAATCAAATGTTTTCAAGAAACTTTCAAACCTAACTGCAAAATATCGAATTACGGGTGAAAACAGGGGCACCCCCGATTTTTTTTTACTTGGTCTAGAGGCACAAAGCCTTTCGATTGGTCTATTTCTGTCGGAGACGTCTCCGGATAGATACTGCGCACAAGCTGCGAACATCCACAAGTAGAAGAGGACCTTTAGACTGTTGTTAAATTGTGGTAAAACCTCTCTCTGCTAGAATTGGTTTAATTGGCCACAGCAGAAGACACAAATCTTAATCTTTAATTCTTCAAGTTCTTTTTTGTTTTTCTGGAGAAATATTCTCCTTTGCGGATGCATTGGTCATCGTCAGACATTGTAATGACGAGCTATTGTTATTATCTATATAGAAGGTATACTGTGCAGTGAAGCACAGAGCCTGAGGCCTAAATCCCACGCCCAATGATTGTTGGCACATCAGACGTTTGTGGACATCATCCAAGCTGGATCCTACCTAGGGTAGTGGTTCCATAAAAATGGTAAAATGGTATAGGTTTAACGCCTCTATCAACACTGTTAGTTTATTTTAAAGGCAGGAGTTCAATGTCCATCCCCGAAAGGATCGAGCCAAATAAGAAATTCCTGTAAAGTGCTTTTCCCCAAGGACACAACGTTGGACCGATTATTGGTTCGGCAGCCTAACCACTAGACAACAGAGACTATCGTATAGTAAAAGAGCACACACATTTTATATCAAGAATCAATCGACAGGTAGGCCATCAGTTGGGTTCCAATGTATCGGAACATTCCCTGAATTGTAAGATTCTTTTCCTTGTGGGTGGTTGACGGGTGCCCTGGTGTGGTTTGCTCCTTCCTAATAAAAAAAAAAGTATCGTCCGAATCTCTCCTCCTCTTTGTCGGTATGTTACTCTTTAGTAACACCTCTAATGTCCGGCACCTGTATGACCTAACTGTTTTGCATGTGCTGTAAAAAAAGAATACTGACACTAAATATTCGTTTCCTTCCAGGGCATGCGTCGCGACGACAAGAACCATTTTGCCGCGCTCAAGGTCAACTTCAAGGCCAAAGGGCTGAGTCAAGAAAAATCCACTGAGAAAGTCAAGCAAAAGCTAGAACCACTTAAAAAAGAGGTAAGAGATGAGGGGGAGTGGATGGATGTGGAGAGTTGGGTAGTGGGTGGAATCGGGAGGAGGGAGCATGAAGCTGTCCTCGGAGAAATTCGCGCCCGCAACCCCCAACTTGCGCGCGCAACTTTTGCCATTTTCGTGAATACGCGAAATTTAGCCAATTTTCGCAAAAGTTGGAAAAATAGTAATAACATTTTGTTAAAAACACCGAAACGTTCGTCCAAGACTAAAAATAATGCCGTAAAGGAGGACAATTCACTCCTTTGCACTACAGCTACACGGGGTGCCCAGTGCCCCATTGCGGATGGGATCGGGTCGGATCGGGTCGGTCGGGATGATCACCCGACTCGTCGCCTGAAAACAAAGGAGGGTAAGATCTAGACATATATCGATTCATCCAGAAAACCTCTAAAGGGGACGTTCAAATATAATCTTGCGCCTG